TTGAGAATGTGCCAACGACTTTGTATTCGGCTTGTATCTCAAATTCGCGCCTCTCCCGTGTCTCGCACAGCAATTCACGTCCAAGTACCGCAACACGATCAACAAGGCCGTCGACTACCTGGTGCGCAACATCGGCGGCGTGGAGGACGAGTACGCCATCGCCGTGACGACGTACGCGCTGCACCTGGCGCTGCACCCGACCAAGGACGTGGCCTTCAACCTGCTCGAGTCCAAGGCGCACTCGGACGGCGACCGCAAGTGGTGGAACCAGACGCTGCCCGCATCCGAGCTGCGCAACCCCTGGCACACGCGGCCCAACTCGCTCGCCGTCGAAATGACGGCGTACGCCCTGCTCACGTACCTGCAGCGCGGGCTCGTCGCCGACGCCATGCCCATCCTGCACTGGCTGCTGGCGCAGCGCAACGCCCACGGCGGCTTCGTCTCCACGCAGGTACACATACATCGGATCGGATGCACTCCGAGTGTACTCCGAGGAGGGTACTCCGAGGGTACTCCGAGGGTACTCCGAGGGTACTCCGAGGGTACTCCGAGGGTACTCCGAGGGTACTCCGAGGGTACTCCGAGTACTCCGAGGGTACTCCGAGTGTACTCCTAGTGTACTCCTAGTGTACTCCTAGTGTACTCCACGTACTCCAAATGAAACTCCAGATGTGGTACTCTGTATTCTACTGACTTACCTCATTCGGCCCGCAGGACACGGTGCTCGGCATGCAGGCGCTGTCGGAGCTGCTGCAGCGCACCGCCTCGCCGCCCTCCAACGTGGTGGTGACCTTCTCGTACCGCGCCGGCGGCGGCCAGACGTCCAGCATCAGCATCAACCGGGTCAACTCCATGATCCTGCAGAAGCAAGAGGTGCGTGCGGCTCATTTAGGGTTGAAAATTTCCAAAATTTTCCGGAAAATTTTCGAAAACTTTCCGAAAATATACGGAAAATAACGGAAAACTTTCCAAAATCTGGGACATTTTTCATTTTTCCCGGATATTTCCCGGAAACTTCCCAAATTTTCCATAAATTTTCCGGAAACTTTCCAGGGCTTCCAGCCCTAGGCTCATTATAAGAAAGGACAGGGAGGGGTAAAGAATCGGTCTGTAATCCACGACGTCCACCTCCTCCTCCTCCCCCCGCAGGTGCCGCGCGGGGTCCGCGAGGTGCAGATCAGCGCCACGGGTAGCGGCCTGGCCCTGGTGCAGGTGTCGTACAGCTACAACGTGAACGTGACCGGCGCCTGGCCGCTCTTCACCCTCGACCCGCAGGTGGACAAGAACTCCGACAGCAACCACCTGCAGCTGTCCATCTGCTCCGGGTGAGTCTACCACGGCATCGCACAAGTATGAAATATTTCACAGTAAAATATTGAGAAAAAAGAAATATTATCAGAAAATAAAAAGAAAAAATGAAACTCGTCAGGAAAAATTTTACGTTTACAAAAAAAAAAAAAATACTGGAAAATTAAAATCCTTTCTTTTGCAGGTTCGTGCCCAACCAGGTCGCCAACGCGAGCAACATGGCCGTGATGGAGGTGTCCCTGCCGTCGGGCTTCACGGTGGACCGGGACGCGCTGCCCAGCCTCGAGCAGTCGCAGCACGTCCGGCGCGTGGAGACCCGGGACCAGGACACCGTGGTCGTGCTGTACTTCGACAAGGTAAGGATGGGGTCGGCGACGACCGCATAGCCGACTGACTGTCATCGTCACCACAACGGCTCTCATGTGTGTGCGTGTGTGTGTGTGCAGATGGTCCGGAGGGAGTACTGCCCGACCGTCTCGGCCTTCCGCACGCACAAAGTGGCGCGACAGCACGCGGTGCCCGTCGTGCTCTACGACTACTACGACCAATGTGAGTTCTCACTGTTACACGAACAAAGAGAGTTGGCTAAAGAATAGCCAATGCATCCGCTAATATGGTCTTAGATCACAAATATTAACTCACTTAGCTAATTCTTAGCTTTCACAGGTTGTTGCTCTTTTTGCTAGAAAACTGTTGAGGTGAATGTTATAGCTCTATTAGCTAACAATCTATTCTAAGGCCATATTAGCGAATGCAATTAGCTAATTTAGCTGATTCTCCCGCCCCCTCCCACCCCTCGTGGTATTTCGACCACTTTCACTACTTGTTCACTTGTTTTGCAGCTCGCCGAGCGCGCGCCTTCTACGAGCCCCGCAAGGCCACGCTGTGCGACATCTGCGACGACTGCCCGTCCACGTGCGCCGTCGGGCCTCGCACGGGCGAGAGGCTCACCGACGACGGCTCGGCCTCGGAGCCGGGCGCCGCGGCCGCGCTGACGGCGTCCTGGGGGGCGCTCCTCGCCGCCAGCCTCGCCGTCCTGGCCTGGCTGCTCTAGCCTCGAGCGTGGAAAGTCATGTTGACACGTCAACGGATGGGAAGTGTTTTGCGTGGAGTGCAGCTAGAGTAAAGTCTGTGACTATTTGTATATAGGTGGGTGGGAAGGAGTCTCGTGTAAATGCGTGAATGCGTGAGTGCTTAATGTGTGAGAGAGGTAGAGTGAGAGAGAGGAAGATGTTGTGATGAAATTCCCTGGTAGCGCCGATTTGGTGATGCGCATTAAAACGCTCTAGAAAGGGGACACATGTTAAACGCATTTCATATGCAATGCGTATAAAATGTGTTACTTTTATGAAAATTGACGTGCGCATTGCATTTAATGCGCATGAAGTGCATTTGTGCAACTAGAGATGAAGGAGCTAATAATTAATTGTGTATTCTGGTCATTAACATACTTTAAGAAGATGCTGAAGGTAGAATGAGTATATACCTCGCCTTTTGTTCCCTGCAGTAGATAACTTTCAATTATTTTAAACCACGACTGAGATAGGGAATGGATTCAGGGGTTAAAAGTATTAGCACCACCCTAGTTTCTAATTTAAGACGTCATGATTAACGTAATGTACCTAATTAAATAACATTTAAGACATGTTCAACTTAACAGGAACTGCGAGTACTGAACACGTATCATTGTTACTGCTGTTAATTTATTCACTATATGTATAACAAATCTATTGGAAATTGTTAGAGTTTTTACATAAACTGCATTGAGATTGAGCCGGCACACAGAGCGGAAGGTGTGTATGCTTGGCTCCGTCGTAGGATACTATTGAAAGCAGGCTGTGATTTCATTTCCAATTCGTAGCAGTCAGAAACAAAATAAAACCGAAATAAAACACTCAGTTCTCTTCTTTGAAAACCTACGTCATGTGCTAAACATTATCACTTGATTTTTTCCCACATATTGGTTTTTGAAATGCTCCTCTCTAGCGATTATTTATTTAAAAATCCTTAACATAACATTACAAACACACAACACACACTCAATCCTTATGCCACAAGGTGTGCACAATTTGGCCCAAAATTTTTCGCAACTTAAATTTGGCGTCTGGGAGAAATGAGAAGCAAAATACGAAAACTCGAGCATGTAATGCTCACTGTACATGCTATGTACACTGATTAATCAGTGTGCATGCACGCGCACAGATTAATCAGTGTACAATGGTCACTGTTAAGTTTTCAGAGTATTTTGAAAATAAAATGAAGTAGTTATTTTTGAAGTTTCATATGGTGGTGTGCATGAAAATTGTTAGTTGTTTACCACTCTGGCTCTTTACGGGGGGCGCCTACCTCTAGTTGGCCCGCAGGTCGGCCTCGCACCTGCGGGAAGTACCCCTGGTAGGCAAACCCGCAGGGCATGGTAAGTGTCCGGCGGGGTTGCCTATATAGGCGAAGCTCTGACGTCGTTGTTGTAACCATCGAAGTTAAAGTATCGCATCGCGTGCTTCGGCTCTCATTCAGCGCGAGGCTGGTTAAACAATGGCAGCCCTAACTCATTATCTCGTTGTGACGCAGCGTGTGCAGTCCGGAGCATTGCAAGCATTCACCATGACCCACCTCGGCGTCGTCTGCATGGCCCTGCTGCTGCTGCTGCTGCTCGTCGAGTACAGAACGACGAGCACCGCGATAGCAGCGTCGCACTTCATCAATAACCTCGCAGTGAGTGTTCTGAAGAGTAAGACACTACACTCAGAAAAGTATTGACCCATGCCGTGAGAAATTCTTTCAAGGGTTACAGGAAAATAATTCAACGATGTAAAATTAAAACCTAAGATGATTGTAATCTGTCTCACCAGGGCCCGTTCCGACTCGTCATCGACCACTTCGAAGCCTGTCCGGTCAGCACTGGCGATGCCGGTCCTCTGTACAAGGATATATACTGGCGTGCCTATCACGGCCGCAAGAATACCGACCTCCCGTACTACTGGATCAACGTGACGACCCTCTTCACTTTCGACGACTCGTATAATGTAAGATTCCTCACATTTCACACGACTTCGGCGAGAGATGTTATATCTCCAAACCCTGACTATACCGAGTACGATACAAATTGACAGTTGGAGTCTTCCTTCACATACCATTGAGCGCGTTACACTCGAAGTTCTTGACTGGAGCTCGTGTTCTTCTGCAGCTTGATATGAACTGGGCCTCGTGGAGTTCTCGCGGCGGATGGAAAGAGAACGCATACGTGATGAGGCCGGGTCCCTTCTGCAAAGTTGTTTCATCTCATGACCCTGATTTCTGGCGCAGATTAATGATCGCCACATTCGACGACCCGAACCGAGACTGCCCCTTCGCTCCAGTAAGTAAAACTCAGCACCAGCACCAGAGTAACACACGTCAATTTCGACTATTCCGGTCGATTCCGAGCAATCGTAATCGCAATACTTTCGTTTTCAGGGATACTATGAAATCAAGAATATTTCATCTGAATTTTCTTCTTTTAAAAAGGTTCCTGTATTTTTCTACGGCACTTGGAGAATCAGCACCCGTCTGGTTAAGGAATCCACGCAGAACGCAGTGGCTTGCCTCTTAATTTTCGTGAAAACCGTGCCTAAATCGTAGCGAACCATTAAACGGACGTGCTCTGACTTTAGCTTCTAACTCTTTCATAGAATTTCACTGGGCTCAGCCCGCGGCTCGCTCTGGGGCATTGGCTGCAGCAACACTGAGTCCTTGGAATGGCTTCAAGCGACGTGGTGATGCTTGGGACAACGAAGGGGTACCTCACTCACGAAATCGGTGTACGAGCTTCTTAAACAAACAATTCTGAAGGGAAAAGGGATCGCAAATCATCACAGCAAAAATTAATTCACAGGTCAAAAGAGAAAAACAGAACTAAAAAAAATGAAAAACTAAAACTAAGGGAGAAGTGAGGGGGGGGGGGGGCGCACGTTTATTCCTTTTGGAAGGGGCAGTCTTGGGTGTTGTATCTTTGATGTTCACTGATTAAAAGACTTGTAAAATAATGACTCTTTGGGTTTCCACTGAAGACTGACGTTTATTTTAATCACGGGAATATTTATAGACTTTAACAAGTGAATGTGGATCTGAATGTGCATGGTTGCCAACTGCTATCTCAACATTGGGGACTGTCTAAAAAAAGTCTAGGCGGGCTGTTGGGTTGGCAACCGTAGTTGTGCACTTGTAAGTGTTCATCTCGGTTGCACTTGTTGGCGAGCCCTTTAGGCAGGCCATCGCGGCCTGGTGACCGCCGAGGGGATCGCCTGCAAAGCGTTATGGGAGGGACGCCACTCGTGTCATTATCTGCGAATGGTTTCACCAAGAAAAGTATGGAATTATCAGCACCGCAGGCACCCTGACAACACTATACCCATCCAAAATGGCTCAAAATCGCGAAAAAAAGCGACTGCGAGTAGGGCAGGGCAACAAAAACACAGGGCCTTACCCACTGGTATCGCGTGCTTTTCAGCACCGTTCATTTGGAGCAGATATCGCAGCAAATAGACAAAAGCCCTCGCCGACCTCGATGTGACGCTCGCCAGGGTCGGTGCGCCCGGCGGTGCGACGTGCACTCACACACAAGCTTCCCCCGGCGTTAGCCATGCCCCTCGCCCCTCTGCGTCGTCTGCTTCTCTACTGCTGCTGGTCGAGCACCGGACGTCACCGTCGAACAACGCAGATGCAGCGTATCACTCGGTATCACTTCATCAATAACTTCGCAGTGAGACTGTAAGGACGCTGCACGCTCTACCATACTCCCTCACTCCCACCCTTTGTTTTTCCAGTGTACATTAAACGGATCGAATGGTGCACCGCCAAACTGTAATGAAATTGTAACTTCTAATCTCTGATTTAATACACAATTAATAAAAAGGTATTAACACATTAACTATGAATTGTAATGAATTGTAATTTTTTGACTTCTTATTCCCTTTGTGCTTTTAACTTAACACCTCGATTTCAAATGAAGGTATCACATTGCCTCAACTAGTCTCAATTTTCATTTCGGTTCCCCAACATACCAAATTGCAGTTGCACACCTACAGGTGTTAAGCAGTTGCACACTTAGTTTATCAGTGTACACAATTTAACTATAGTGACTACTGCTTGAATTTTATACTTAAGTTATCAAGAAACAATTAACTATTACTTACTACACCTTTCGCACCATTGCAAATACCTCGCAAGTCGCAATATGGCCCGTGCTCCGGGGTCCCACGAGCCACCCGCAGGGACCCACGGTGATTCCGGTGCAAAAAGGGGATAAAATTAATTTTCAGGTAGTTTAACGATTCAGATAAAAAATAGTTATAGCAAACAGTTGGTTAAACTGTACTGGCCCACCACAGGTCATGGAGCAGCCGCATACAGCTTTTTCCGAACAGACTATAGGCGCCGTTTAGGACCAAATTATTTTTTTTCAACGAATGTGAAAAAGAGGGAGTACCCACCCCGCTTTTAC